TTGGCAGTCAATCCTTTTACAAGCATCACATTTTCAAGACTAAGAGATCATGCACAAGCTAGTTTTCCAATTCCTTGGATTTATCCTTTTGCAACATCCCCAAAAGTGACATAACTAGTAAAGTGTGACTTAATGTTGACCAAGAAGTTTTCTGTACCAGTCATGTGTCTAGAACACCCACTATCAAAATACCAGTCTTCTTTGGCAGAAGCTCTAAGAGAAGTACGGGCAATAAGAGATTTGATAGTCTCTTTGGGAATCCATCTCTTTGTATTCTTCAATGATTCATGACTAACCTTGGGCTAAGCACATGCCCTAGGATATTCATGCAGTCTGAAACAGAAAGGTTTGATATGGCCAACCCTACCACAATAATGACATCTCAAATGCTGGACCTTGCTTCCCTTTTTACTAACCTTATTCCTGCCTTGATGTTGAGACAATTGTTTTTACATCTTTGGCTTTTTGACCCTCCCAGTTGAAACTGGTTTGGTAGACTTAGTGTCTCCTTTCAGAATTTGATTATTAAACAATATGCCTCTTAAGTCACCAACCTTTTGTTCAACTTGAAGAATTTCTTCTAACAGGTTAGAGATATTATTCAATATTCTTATAGACTTGGTCATATTTTCAAGCTTGGAGGTCAGCATGGTCACCTCATCCTGCAGACTATAGATGTTGGACACACACTCTTCCTTTACAAACTGAAGTTGAGCAATAAGTTCCTGTTGTTTCTCACTCTTAATGCACAGATTTTTGTAGGAAAATACTGTTTCATCATAAGGAATCTCTTCATCACTGGACTCTACATCAGATGCCCATCTCCCAGTTAAGGAAGTTACACATTTTACTGTTTCATTATCACTTTCACTTTCCTCTTCAGGACACAAGGCTGTCAATCCCTTAGATTGTTTCTTCAGATAAGTAGGACATTCTACTTTAATGTGTCCAAACCCTTCACATTCATGACATTTAACTCCTCTATTATGATTTTTCCTTTCTTTAGTTCTTACTCTTCCTTGAGAGCTATAGTTCCTGCTGGAGTTAGAACTGATGTTCTGGACATTGGGTTTCGACTTACTCTCTATTCTCTTCAGTACTTGATTGAATTGTCTTCCTAGAAACACAATGTCATTGGCCATCCCTTCATTTGTATCAATTTCACTTTCCTTCTCTTCATCTCTAGAATTGGAAACAAAAGCAATGCTTTTGTTCTTTTTCTCAGCTTTGTCATTTATGGTCATTTCAATGGTTTGAAGTGACCCCACTAACTCATCAACTCTCAAATTACAAATGTTTTTGGTTTCTTTAATGGTTGTGACCTTCATATTAAATTTCTTGGGAAGAGACCTGAGAATCTTCCTAACCAGCTTTTCTTGTAATATCTTTTCTCCCAAGGCACTAAAGACATTAGCTATTTCAAGAATCTTCATGTGAAAGTCATGAATACTTTCATTTTCACTCATCTTCAGATTCTCAAATTTGGTAGTGAGAAGCTGAAATATAAACATCTTAATCTTGAATGTTCTTTCATGAGTTGTCTTGAGAATTTTTCAAGCATCCTTAGCTACGGTAGAAGTGTTGATTAACCTAAACATGTTCTTGTTAACTCCATTGAATAAACCATTAAAGGCTTTGGAGTTTCCAAGAGCAGTCTCATCTTCCTCCTTGGTCCAACCCTCTTCTGGCTTCAAAGTCTTCTGTGCATCTTTATCTTTAACCACAGGGTGCTCCCAACCCTTGATGATAGCCTTCCAAGTTTTGATATCCATAGATTTTAAGAAATCCACCATACGTGCCTTCCAATAGTCATAATTAGTGTCATCCAAGACTGGAGGCCTATTAACATTTCCTCCTCCTTCCTTGTCCATAGTACCAAACTACAAACTCCCTGGAACTTACCGAAAAAACAAAACATGGTGACCTGCTCTAATGCCAATTGAAATTCTGGCACGCATATACCAAATGTTGAGACATATGTCACAATACTGAGATCAAAACAGATTGATCACACAAATACAAGTGTAGAGATTTAAATGACAGAAAAGTAAAATTAACACCAGCAATTGTTAACCCAGTTCGGTGAAACTCACCTATATCTGGGAGCTACCAAGCCAGGAAGGAAATTCACTATGGTAGTATTAGTTAAAAGTTAAACCCCCCCGTTTACAACTTCTCGCCTAATCTCTACCTTGTGCAACTTCTACCAAGACACCTTCTAGATATGAGACCCTCTTCTCAATTCCTAATCAATCACAATTCTAATGACAATTCAACAACAACAAACAATAGAAGTAGCACACTTCCAAGACAATACTTGGTTTTTCTTAAAAGCTTCAACCAAGAACAGTACACTCTTTCTTAAAAGCTTTAGAGTGGACAATTAACAATGAACTATCAGTCAACCTCAATGCATTAGAAGATACATGAGTGACATACAATTAACAAGCACTAAACCCTAAAGACCAACCAAAACATGGCTAATCCTTATTCCCCAAATTCTTGATGTGTTGTTCCTTTTTCCAATATGGTTAGGTCTTCTCTTTAAATAGCCTTCAGACCTAATGGAATTTGGCTTCTTGAGGCGTAAAAACATCAATAATCAACTTTAACTCACTACAAATCATCTTTGACAATAATAGGAATAAAATACAAACTTTCCTAAAATGGCTCAAGTATCCTATTTACGAAAACTAACAGAATCTGTCATAACAGAAATTCCCATAATATACTCTCATGAATAATGCACATGTGTGAATCAGAACACACTCAAAAATCACACTAAAAATACCAAAATAGTCACGCCCTAAATTTTTGATATAACATGTCCTGGCACATGTCATAACATCCTGCTGAACATGATGTCTGACTGTCATGGCAGAACATCTGGTTTAACATCTTGCTAACAACATGTTGTTTTGCCAAAATGTAGCCAATAATAAAAACACAGAACTAACAATGTGGGCTGAGCGAGAGGAGAAGATTAAAGCAACCAAGGCGTTGGAGAATCCAAGAAATAAACTGTTGAAGTCAGATGAAGTAGAGTGCTTTGGCTTAGCGATGGTGACCGCAACACAAAATTCTCCCATGAAAAGGTAGACCAAAGAAGAAGAACCAACAACATTTCAAAGCTGAAAGATGAGAGAGGCATTTGGTGTAAAAGAGGAACACTATGAAAGAATTATTGTAAATCATTTTACTAATATCTTCTCTATTTCCTTCCCTTAAAATATGGAAGATGTTTGCCAGGTAGTTCAAGGAAAGATATATAGGGAACAAATGTTGTAGTGCGAGGAACCTTATTTTAAAGGCAAAGTTGAGGAAACTCTGTTTGAGATGCATCTGTTAAAGATTGCACAAGATATTTATCCTAGTTCATTATAACCACTTGGGTTACTCAAGTCCCTAAGAATTTCACCTTCAAATTTCCACTAAAATCAACTTGAGATTTTACATGATCAACTCATAAACATTCTAACAACAAACAAAGCTTTTAACCAGGTTTATCTCATGAACATTCTCCTAAGTTTTTATTAGGTATAACTTGCGACATTCAAATATTTTACAAAGATATAACACTAAGAGAATCACAATATTAAATAAGAAAAACTAAGCACATCACTATTATAATACAACTCTAAGAATGAACTTTTCACTCTCTTGGCATTAAGACAACTTTAGCGAAAATGATTCATAGAAGAAAAGAGAGTAGAAATAATAATATGAAGGTTTTTATTTAAAAAGCTAGTGTGAAATGAAACGAGGAAAAAACTTCTTTAAATAGAAAAAAATATGGTTAAAAATGGAAACAATCCATTGACCGTATTAATGATTTAATCGATTAACAATAAGTGATAATCGGTTAATCAACTAAAATATGGAAATTTTTATTTTTCACGTCACCTAGTTCATTAATATCTCATTTAATCAATTAAGAGGCATTACAAATAGATTTAATCAAATTAAAGAAACTTTTAATCAATTAATTAATGTAAAATACATTTCTAATTGATTAACTAAGTTTTTAACCAATTAAGAACGTGCTCAGGAAGGTTTTAAAGGATTTTATCAAATGAGAAAATAGTTTTGAAATAATTTGTATGTGCATTTACTTTGTACTTCAAGAATTACTTTGGTTCTTTTTACAATTTACCGATCAATTTAAAGCTCTAAGCGCAGGATCTTGTAGGCTTTCATATGTTCTCTCTTTCACAATTTCAAGACTTCAAGTTCTTTTGTTTGATTTCAATGATGTTTATCACTTCAACTGGAATTTGAAAAGTCTAACTAATGAGGCATGAGATATATTGTTCTTGATGAAATTCCAACATCACTAACCTAGAAAGTTTCTATCAACACTCCCTTTGAGAATTGTCATAAAGAACTTCTCGAATAATCAATATTATGCATGAGTCTAACTGATGAGGCATGAGATTTATTGTTCTTGATGAAATTCCATCGTAAAAAACTACTAGAAAGTTTATATCAACTTCCCCTTGACAGTTGTCATAAAGAGCCTCTTGAAACATCTATATCAAACTTCATTTAACTTATGGAGTTGACATAATTTTATACCGCTTGACAATTGTTATTAATGAAACAGCTTGATTAGAAAAATGGTTTGAAGTTTTTGGTTCGAAAGAGGGTCTGACTTCCTTGTATTGAAAATCTTTTTCATATGGTATTGGGTAGGAGACATGTTCTGTTGAAAAAGTGTCGGCGGCGGTACAAGTGTATGTCGTTGAAAAAAAAGTGTGAGTTGAAAGTGTTGAGAAACAAAGTGTCAACGGCGGTACAAGTGTATGTCGTTGAGAAAAAAAGTGTGAGTTAAAAGTGTTGAGAAACAAAGTGTGGGGAAGTCCTACGTTAATTAGAAAAATAAAAATTACATATTTATAAGTGAGAGAACCCACACATCTATCACACTAGTGAAAAATATATACTATTAAAATCATTTTTATGTCAATAATAAGAAAAACTGACCATATTTTATATCTAACCTGTAGAGAGGAACTGTTGAGTTTACTGATCCATTGATGTAACTTTGAAACATTGGAGATTTGAATATGCTTCTAAGTTTCTGTTCACCTTTATATCCTGTGGCAAGAATAACTAAATCTGTTTCTATGGACTTAGCATCTCCATCAATAATCAAGCCTTCATTGCAAAAGCTAAAACTTTGTGATTTCTTTATCACAATGGATCCTTCTTTTACTTTGTCAAAAAAGAACTCAGGAAGTACTCCAGTTTTACATGAAGAAATATCTTGAAGAAAGCTGTGATTAGGTAGCACTCCATACATCTTTAATGGAAACTTCCATCTCAGATATGTTTCAACAAACCTCGAAATTCCCCATCGCTGAACATTAAGAATGTAATAATTTCCACATGTTCAGTACAATTTTACTCAAATTACAACAGGTATATGAAACATGTGTGTTTAGGATGGTTTTAAATTGCAGTTGTAGTCGCAAATGTGATTGTTACAATTACGGCCATTAAGTCTATTTTAGCACGAATATTGATTGAGAGATATTTACGGCAATCTAAAACCATTGTGTTTAATAGGATAGATAGTATTACCAATGGTGAGAGTAACGTTGCGAGAAGGGAAAGCAGGAATGATTCTCCAGGCTTGTGAACTAAAAGCTCCGCAAAACGGTTGAAATATAAGAATGCAAGATTAATGCCTCCAATGTTGAAATCTTGGAGAAACCAATGTGATGTTCTTTGGATAATTGTGCAAGGATGAGTCACTCCTATATAAAAATCATAAATGAGTTGAAAAAAATAAATTAATAGAAGAGAAAAATATAATAATTGTGAATAAGTATATTCTTACCATTTGCATTTGCACATTCAGAAGCTATATCAAGAGCTGATTTTTCTGAGCCTATAACTGTAACTCTCTTGTTTTTGATCAATTCAGCAGCAATATCATTGTCCAAGGCAGAGTAGTCCATAGAATGCATAACTTTTCCTTCAAAATTTTCGGGTCCTTTTCCAGGAGGGAACTCAGGAATGTTTGGAAAACCACTGTATTTTCCAATGCAAAGAATAACAAACTCAGCTATATGCACCTGGTTTTATATTATAATAGTTAAGCCCAAGAAAGATAAATCAAAGTAATATAAAATAGGTTCGTGTCGGAGTCAGTGTTGCGCTGACTAATGTTTCATAGCAAAACAACAATCAGAATTTACACATATATACCTCAGTTGATAAACTCTTAGTATCTTGCACGGTAATATGCCATGTTCCCTTGGACCCAAAAGGAGTTCCATCACCATTCCATAACTCCCATGACTTCATTTCTTCATCAGACTCACCAACATAATCAATATCAATGACTTTAGAGTTGAATCTAATATAAGGAACAATGGAAAAATGTTGAGCATAGGAGTTAAGATAATCTAGCAATTGTTGACTACTTGGACAATCTTGTTTTACAGAAGAATCCCAATGAAAATCTGAAAACTGAAAAGTTTCTTTGGGGTTTTGAAGTTTGGTAGATTCAATAGTATGCCTCCATAATCCTCCTATACCATCATCTGCTTCGAAAACAACCGGATGAAAACCAATTTGTAGAACATATTTGCAGGCAAGTAGGCCACTGATTCCTGCCCCTACAATTGCAACTCTTCTTTCCATTGTTTTGCTGTGGTGAAGTCAGATAGAGGAGGCCAGCAACGTTTTGTGACAAATGCATTGAACCTTGTTTTGTGGCTAAAATGTTTTCTAATTTGTTGTCTCATACCAAATGGTCTTAAAGTCAAAATATTTGAATTTAGATTAATAAAATTTTAAATTTACAAGTTTAGTATACGTCACATTAATTATTTTATCTTGTGTCATCGTAATTAAAAATCAGATAACATCAATTTAGAACAAAACTCCAAAACTGGAATAAAATAATTGTGGGGGTTTGCCAGAAGTTAGTTTAACCAACAAGTAAACGATGATGACTACAAGGTTCAATTCTTAGTAATACTAATATATTCCTTTTTTTTCAAAAACACTCACCACATATACCTAAAGAATAACGCTCAACATCAATCTTCACCAAAATTTCTAAACTATACGTTTTTTATTATACTAAAAAAAGTATATTAAATTATAAGTTGTTTTTACTTATAATTTAATAGTATTAATTCTTTTTTCTTCGGATTCTTTTTGCGTGTTCATTTAAGTATTTCACACTGATTAATTTTTGTTTTTATTAATAATATTTAATATACACCTTATCTCGTATGGGAGATTCATAATTATCATATAGATAAAGTTGAATATGTTAAACAGATAGGTATGAAATTAATATTAATTAGACTATAATTAGATAAAAAATAATTGATATTTGTTAGTGCGTGGAGAGATAGAGAGAAAAATAATAAAAAAATAAAAATTGTATTATTGAATTTTGATTGTACAAATTGAATTATAAATTATATCTATTTATATACAACTAACTTGTATACTAAGTAACAAACCCTAAATTCTAATTAACTTAGGGCTTGGACTACACAATTTGGATTATATCATAACATACTCCCCTATAATCCAAGTTGTCGAACCTCCGCTAATCATAGTTAATCTGAACAATTCCTATTTTGTTCTCAAATTCAGGAATCTGTCGATCTTCAATCGTTTGATGAAAATGTCAGCCAATTGTGCTTCACTTGAGCAATGTCTTACTTCAAGTTCACCTCGATTTACCTTCTCCCTTAAGAAGTGAAAGTTAGCTTCGACGTGCTCACTCCTTTCACGCAGAATTGGATTCTTCGCAAGATTTAGGACTGACTTAATGTCGATCTGGAGCACAAAAGGTTTCTTCACTTCGACCTCAATCTCTTCCGGTACAAATCTGATCTAGTTTGTTTGACACATAACATAAGATTCGGCTATATATTCAGCCTCACACGATGGCAATACCACCATAGGTTCTTTTCTCGAGCACAATGAGATTCGGGTACCAAATACTTGAAAGAAATAACCAGTTGTACTTCTTCGAACTTCCTTATCTCCACACCAATCAACATCTGAATAGTAAGTAACTGTAGCTTCTTTGCTTTCTGAATCTCGTGGAAACAAAATTCCATAGTTTATCAATCCTTTTAGGTATCTTAGGATTCTTCTTGCAAGCTTCATGTGTGACACTCTTGGTTCACCCATGTATCTGCTCACCAATCTAACTGAGAAACCTATATCAGGTTGACTGTTGAACACATATCTTAGAGATCTGAAATTTTTTTAAACAAATGGACTTTGAATTTGTCTTCCTCTCCATGCTTCTCCAGCTTCAAATTTGGTTCGACGGGTGAGGATGCAAGATTCGAGTATTCCATCCCGAATCTCATGAGTATCTCTTTGACCTAATTTCTTTAATATAGCACCATACCTTACTTTAAAATTTGAAATTACATGCCTATAAAGTACAAAAAATTTCCCATATCCGACATTTAAAATTCCTTCTTCATCAACTCTTTGAACTTCGACAAGTTCTCCAAACTATTTCTTGTTAATAATAAGTCATTGACATATAAGCAGCTGATTTTTATATATTGCGCGACAACGTGAAGATAGACACCATACTCAAATTTCCGTTTGATAAATCCCAATTTGACCAAGTATCAGTCAATCTTCTTGTTCCATGCCCTAGGTGTTTGTTTAAGGCCATATAATGGTTTGTGTAGTCTGTATACTTTCCTTGCTTCCTCCTCTATCACAAATCTAGGAGGTTGTGCGACATATACCTATTCATCTAGAGGACCATTCAAAAATGTTGCTTTCACATCTTAGTGAAATGTCAGCCATCCTTGCTTACATGCCAAGACTACCACCAATCGTGTAGTCTCCAATCTTATTACTGGTTCATATACTTCAGAGTAGTTGAGTTCTGCTCTCTGAAGAAATCCTCGAGCTATTCATCTTGTCTTGTGAATTTCTATCTACCCGTCAGCATTATGCTTGAACTTGAACACCCGTTTCACTTAGATAGCGTTTATATTTATTGGAAATTCGATTAACTCTAATGTATTATTTCTTTCAATCGCTTGTAACTCTTCGACCATAAATTTCTCCCATTGTTTATTTTTGAAGGCCTCGCTATAGTGGACATGTTCAACACCTGCAAGTAAAGCAAAATGAACCAAATCTCTGTCTGGTGTGACTTCATCATCACCAACCACTTCACATTCTTGAAGCCTCACTAGGAGTACTCTGGTTCTTTGAGGTCTTTGCCTTATGCTAGCCACACCTTTTCGGTTGTATACTTCGACTTCGGTAGTGATTGGAACATTATCGACTAGAATTTCTTTGTGCTCACTACTTTCTTCATCAACTTCATAGCCCATCAATGGCTTGTTAGTCACATAACATGAATTACAATCCTAGTAAAAATTCTTATCAATCACAATGTCTCGACTCATCTTGATCTTATTATTCATTGGATTAAATAGCTTGTATGCTTTAGTCTTATGATATACTACCATAATCATAGGTTCAAATCAAGTTTCCTTCTCTTAACATAAGAAATATGCTTGTAGAAAATAGAGCTAAACACCTTCAAATGACTCATTGATAGTCGTTTGCCACTCCAAACTTCTTTTGGAACCTTGTTTTTTTAGCTTCTTGGTAGGGCACCTATTCAGAATATAAACAATTGTGTTGATAGCTTCACCCCATAAGGACTTTGGAAAGTTCTTCTGCTTCACCACGCATCTCTCCATATCCAATATGATTTTATTTCTTTTTTCTTCTATTCCATTATGTTGAGGAGTATAAGGAGAAGTTACCCCATGATCGATACCATATTCTGCACATAACTCCTCAAATATCTTGGATGTGTATTCGCCACCTCCATCTGTTTGTAGTAGCTTGATCATCTTTTTGAATTTGGTTTTTGACAAAAATCTTGAATCTCTTAAAGATTTCAAATACTTTGTCCTTTTGCAGGATCACATAAATTCAAAGCTTTCAACTATACTCATCGACAAATAAGACAAAATAGTTGTTTCCACCAATAGTATGATCCTCGAGCGGGCCACATACATCTGAGTGTACTACGAGAGGACCTCATTGGCATAGTCAAAACAAAGGAATTTTAGGATTTCTTCCATACAAAGCAACATTCACAGAGTTTGTCGGGCATCTCAAGATTTGTTATACCGGTTACCATATCTTGAGTAATCGGTTGATTGAGTGACCTAAAATTCAGATGGACAAATCTTAAATGCCACAACTAATTATTCTTGTGGCCGACAACTGTTTTTAGGCATTGTACCTCAGTCGAATTGATCATAGTCTTAAATGTCCTGTTCTTTGATAGAGGAGATTTTAAGACCATATTATTCTGAGTGTCAAATAGTTCCAAGGCTTCATATTTCATAACCACTGAGAAACATTTTTCAACCAGTTGCCCAACACATAGCATATTTCACTTCATTCCAGGTACATAGCGTACATCTTTGATCATAGCTTTTGCTCCATTGCTCCTTTGAATAGCTATGTCACAAGTACCTTCTGCTTACAATGAGTTATTGTCAGCAAGTTTGACCTTGCTCTTCTTCGAATTGTCAAAATTTGCTAACCACACTTTTTGACCAGTCATGTGATTCAAACAACTTGTGTCGAGAAACTAAATCTTGGTGTCGACCTAATCATCCTACAACTGTAGCCATAACCACCATGTCTTCAGAATCATCTGAATCTTGGCGTGCAAGGTTTTCTCCTTCATTATTGCATTTCTTGTACAAACAATTCTTGGTCAAGTGACCCCATTTTTCATAGTTATATCACTACACACCTTTTTCTCTTCTTTGTCTTTCTGGTAGAAGTATCCTTATCCTCTTTTCGAGGATTCAGAAGCCCTATTATCAATCTTATGCTTTTGAGGGTTCGACCAAGACTTCTTACTCAGATTCTTGTCTCCTTTGCCTTTGAACTTGTTGGAACCACCATGTTTCTTCCATGTATGAGCCTGTAGTGCTTACATCGAATCTTGAACACCTTTCCTTTCAATAATGCTCATTTCACGTGCCTCCAACGAACCAAAAAAATATTCCAATTTTAATGTTTCAAGATTGCTGAATTCTTGAATAGCAACAATAATGTGATCAAATTGAGAGGTCAATGTACATGTTACCTTCTTAACTATCATCTTATCAGTTAGAGTTTCACCACAACCTTTCATGAGATAAACAAGCTTATGCACCTTTGAGACATAGCCTGCAATCTTTTCTTCTTCTCCCATTTAAAATAATTCATAATACCTTCATAACGTCTATAATTTGACGGCTTTAACCTTCTCACCTCCTTCATAACACTTGAAAAGAATATCCCATGTCTTCTTCACTGATTCAGCATGAGAAATTCGATCAAAGTTTTCCACATCTACTACTGATTGAATGTAAAATGCAACTGTCATACCCTAAATTTGTCCTACCCGTGTATAAATTTTATCTGTACATTCATTTCAGAAAATTCAAAAAAATATAATATTTTGTTTCTAGTTATTATAATGATTGAAGTCAAACAAGCTCTATTTCAAGGTCAAGATTTCGGTGTGCACTTCAAATGATGTGTATTCAGGGTGACAGTTAGGTTTGGTTTGTCAAGTTAGATCAATTGTGTGTGAGTCAGGTTGTCAGGTTGAG